TACCGAGCGTGAAGATGACAAATGGCCCGACAATCTTATGGCGCATACCGAAGGCGTTCAAGCGCGCGACGATTGAGACGCTTGTCAGAAACGAGAGGAAGGAAATTATTGCGCATTCTCGCTTTTGTTACTAAGTAATCCGAATAAATAACTAAGTTTTATCGAAAACTAATTATTTTGATAAGAGGTAAATTATTTAGAACAAGAACTTAAATCTTCACACAGTCATATCGTTTTAGAAGAAATTGAGTCCTTTTTTACTTTCTTGTTGTAGCTTTTTCGGCCAATTTACGATTGCGAGAAACACTTAGGAAAACTCAAGCAGCAATTAAAGCAAACGACTCTATGAAGACGCGGAATGCGGGCGCGATTAATTTCAGTCGCCGCCGGCGACGGGCGTTCTCTCCCGCGAGATTAATTATTTCCGGGACGCATTAGTGCCGCGCACTTTGTCGACGAGGTACGTAATAATGGCACATACACCCGATTTCGCAAACGATAAAGCGCGATAACAAGGTCTCGCGGATTAAGTAACGGTCAATTAGACGATTAGGATTGGCTTCGCGAACAACGTCGTGATTTCGCGAATCTAAATGTCCGCAATGTTAGTTGCAAAATGAAAATTTTAACGGGGAGAAAGGCGGATGACAATTATTCAAGTAATTTTCTAAACACACGCGCTTAATTTATTGCACAAATTTACTTTGGAAAGCGCGTTACATCAAGACCGAGGAGGAGCAAGGTTTATATTTTCGCTTTGTGTGTTTGGAAAGATACACCGCCTACACCTTTCAAGCACCTGATTCCTATCCATCATCCCTTTGTCTCTCCAGGCTTCGCGAACCCCCACGACGATTTAACTTACGAATTAATCAAGGCGCAGGAGCGAGACGCCTCTTCCCCTTTCCCTCCCTCCGACACTCATTATTCTTCCTCGTTCTTCCAGCTAGACAAATGGCGGTAGTTAATTAACAAGCGAGACTCTCTCGCGGCAAGAGGCGATTCGTTTATAACGAGTAGAGGTGCCTCTCGCGAGTTTTATTTGTGTGTTGTCGAGAGGGCGCGCGCTTTTGTTTGTTATCCCGCGGCATTGTGTAACGACATCGTCGACAAATATCGCGTGTGTTCGTTCGAACGCATTAATTTAAACACGTTGCACAAATTTCTCAAAACCGAAACGACGGTTCCGCGACGGCATCGTAAAAAAAAACGAGATCGAACGAGAAATCGTCCGAAGGTTTCGCGCGACGAGGACAGAAACTTATCGTATTTTTAACGTAATTATCTCACTACAAAATCACAAAGGACTAACATTGTTTTACAAAGCGCGCGATATAACAGTGAAACGGTTTCTTGTCTTCTTATATCTTTCGAGAACGGTTGTAATCAGGATCAGATTTTATCCGATGTATTCACACGCCGTCTTCCACGACACCATAAAAAACGTGACTCATATCCGCGATTATCGTGCGATGCACGTTTGACACGATTTGTGTCGCTCGCTCGCTCGTCTGACGAAACGAGGAAAGTCCCCGCAGATCAGTACCGAGAATTTCCCCCCTCCTTATGAGGTTGATCCGAGGTAAAGAAAGCAAGCCGGATGTGCATACGAACGAGGCGTTGGCGTTCTCACTCCCGAAGCAGTGAACTGCAAAAGAAAAAAATCTTGAACAATTACGTAACATACGAGCGACTAATAAAATACGTATAATATTTTTTTTTTTTTATCGACACTTACTGCGTGAAATATTTTTTCACGTACGGATGACTGAAAAATGTTCAGATTTTGTTAAAACAATCAGTTTCCAAGTTAATTAGAGAATTTGCAGATCGGACATAAAATGCAAAACAACCTGAGCGCATGATATTCTCTGCTGATCTTGAAGAGCGCACTTTGCTAGGCGCCAGTTACAACTTCCAGACCGCTTCGTTACGTAAGCGGCGCACGATGTAACTTAAGAACGCGTTATTAACAGGTTAGCGCGGCGCAAAGAGCAACCTCGATATTAATAATGAATCATTTTGCGAAGTTTTTACGAGCGCGCGTGGGCGCGTCGGTCCCCGGCATCACCCCCGATATCGCGAAATCAACTGCCGAGAGAATGCGATTAATAATTTCATTGTTTCCACGAACGCGCTTCTCATATCGAGAAATGACGCGACGTGTAAGCGCGCAGCCAATGAAATTAGTGCACGTGGGCAGAATGTAACGCGGGAAAAATTTGCATCTTGTCAGTAGGCGGGCAGTGTATCGAAAAAAAATTTACCATGCACCGTGGGAACTAAAATCTTACGAGATAAGGTGGAGTGAGTTTTAGCGGGAAGACAGTCGCGATTTAAATCAACTCAAATATCTGAACTCAGAATTAATCTGAAATTGTTAACGGAAACATCGGAAAATGCGTTTAAAAATATGAATTTCTTCGTCGATTCGAGAAAAATGTCATTTTTCTCCGGTTTCGCAGATTCCGGTGTGTATCCTTGAAGAGTTGGGTAACTCTTCAAGAGTTTTTTTTTCTCGCACTTCCTCCACTCTTGCTCGGCACACGGATGCGGGATTTTACATTTGCGTGTATCAACGCGAGATGACGTCAAAAATTTCGACGGAAGGCGGGAAAGTGGCGTTGCGCGAGCGAACCACAAGATAAGCATCACTTTCATTTGGTCTTACATGGCGTGTTCGTCGAGCAAAGTCAGACTTTCCCGACGTTCTTAATGACCGATGCAAATGCACCGTCATTAGACCTCGTTGGGCTCGTTTCGCTACTATTTGTCTTTATAGCTCTCCGCGGCATCGCCGTCCCCTTTGCATAAACAGCCGACGAACACGACGACGACGACGACGACGACGTGTCGTGGTAGCGATAATTTCCTACCGCGCTCGATCGCGAAACAACGCGACGATCCTCAATAGGATCGTAAACTCCTACGAAGCGCGATCGTTAACTTGATGGATGCGCTTAGAAGAGTTTCCTTTGCTCTCCGCGCGCGCTCCTTGGTATTATTACACCGAAGTGCAATTGACGAATGACCCGCTCGAGGACTCGAGCGCTTGCGAAATTAGTCGCGGCGCGATGCTAAATTCTTTACATAAATGTCTTATTAACTCCCTCACTCATTAGTTGTAATTATTCCGATAAATGTGAGTAGCAACAGTAGATGTACCTAAGTTACGTAAAACCAATTTTTTTCAATGTTATTGGTTAAATAAAAATTCCCGTGAGAAGGTTTTTTCTCAACTTTGATTCTTATTTTTTATAATAATAAAAAATTGATATTTTTCGAGAAACGCCACATTTACTTCTGCCATTCGAAACAATTTGAGATCACAATTTGGTGCTCTCTCGAGCTCTTTCTTTTTATCGAACACGCTTTTTTGAAACCACGTTCCGATTACATTCTGCAAAGTTCAGCTTGTTGCGCAGCAACTCGCAGTTATGTTACAATTTTGCAGGAGGCGAATTGTATTGTATTGTGTAGCGCGCGGATGAACTCGATTGAACCCCAAATTGATTTCTCACAACACGGCAAATTCCATTCTCGGATGTTTTCGATTCGTCAGCAAACCGGAATCCTCACGACGGTAGTCGACGAACTCGCGAGCGAGTGCGAAAAATTGCTGTCTCGTGAGAAATCAAATCTGGATCGTCGAGCATGGTAGGGTACGGGTCTGTGTTTTTTGTTGTCGGACGCTGCGAATAAAATGAAAAAAAAAAACAAAAAAAAAAACGAAGATTAATGGCGCGATAACTGGCGCGCCACGTGTGACAACCTCAATCTTTTAAGTTGCGAAAATTGTAACAAATGTTCTTGATTTCAACGTTTGTTTTATAATTTGTTATTGTTATGATCTGTCATAATTATTCATCAAAAAGATAAGTAAGCGCCAGCTGCGTCCTTGTCGCGCAACACATCCTCGCCGCTGTACAGTCTTATCGTGTTATCCTCGCTGGAAACGGCGCTGTAACTTGCGGTCGCAATTTTTCACGTTAGATCTCGCCGCTCTTCCGCTCGTGGGGTCTAAGTGATGTCATTACGAGTGGCGCCGGTTTCGCTCCCGCGAAATTGTGGAGCATTTCTGGAAACGAGATGAGTAAGAAATCTCGTCGATTCGATCGCGCTCCTCGTGAATCATCGCGTTTCCGACAATCGATGAAATCACGAAATCAAATCTCTCCGCGACGCACTCTTTTTGTTAAAAAAAAAAAAAAACTACAATTATTTATTTAACAAATATAGATTTTATTTTTAAAAATTTATTCTGTTTAATTCACCGTATTACGAGACAACGTGTGGTATTGTGTGCGCAAAGCGTGACGCGGGATTCGATCATTGCATCGTCTGTTTCGTGACTCATATCAGAGGCTCTCTGGACGTGTCAAGAGTCGTCTCGCGATCTCGCCCGGGACTAATTATCGCGACTGGACGTGAATTAGGGACGTAAACCTAAACGACGTCGCCGCCATATAAGAGCGCGGAGCCGACGCTGACATTATCGGCGGCCCCGATCTTCTCTGCTTCTCTCCTTACTCGCGCGAGAAACACAAGTCGGCGGCCTCTTCACGCTCCGACAGCGCAACCACGCGCTCGTTATCTCGCGCGCGTCGTCCGAGCCTCGCTTCGGCCAATTTGCATCCGCAACTGCGTCTCTCTCTCTGCAAACACGCCGAGTGCGTGAAAAGAAAACTACAGCTGTCATTTTAGTACGTAGTAGTAGTCGTCGTTTAATCAATCATCACGGCGGAGTGGTCTTCGGACCAAGCTGGTTAAAATACGTTCGCATAGAAACTCCTGTATATTGTCAGGGTTTTGAATAGAGACTTTGTGCGAGAATGTTCTTCAGAAATATTTCTAGAAAAATGTGAAACTAAAAAATTGCACAAATTTATTCGCGGAAACAGAAGTACTGTGGATATTTACAGTCTCTAAAAACACGAAGTGTTCTGATGCAACGTTTGACCAGGTCCCGTTCTCCGAGAGAGAAGATCGTTATCAACACTCGAGCGTTATTTTTCACCCCGTATACTCGTCTCTCTCGGCACTTCACGCCAGTTAACAGCAGAGCACTTGTTCCCTCGTGAGGTTAACGTTTTCAGAAATAATCGCTTCGTTCGCGCGGGCGAAGGATCATGAAAAAGACCGGTGCTCTTCAGATCGAGGTGAGCACCGAGAAGGAATGGGAACAGTTGCTGACTCGCCCGGGACTGATCGTCGTGGACGTTTATTCGGACTGGAGCGGACCGTGCGCCGCCATGGCGAGCAGTCTCAGAAAGATCAAGATGGAGATAGGCGGCGAACTTGTGGAATACGCAATCGCTCGAAACGACGACATCGACGACTTGGCGAGATTCCGCGGCCGCAGCGAGCCGACCTGGATGTTCCTGCAGGACGGCAAGATGGTGAATCTGATGTTCGGCGCGCACTGCCCGCGCCTGCGAAAGCTGTTGACAGACGAGATAAAGAGGATGCAACGCGCGGAGGCGTCCAAGTGGCGGTTGAGTGTGCACGAGCGAGCTCCCGAGGAGGAGATCCGATGGCAAAAGCAGGAAGCTATTAGGTGATGATGACACGCAATCGATGATCGATTGATTTTGTAAAACTCGCGAGGTGTTTGATTTTGATTTACAATCGAAGTAACAATAATATCTTTTGTGAGCGAACAGTTAAAAGTACTTATAACTTGGTCCCAAAAAACATCTAACTCTGAATCTTTAACTGGTCCGCAATAATTTTTTTACTCGAGCACGTCGTCAGAACGGACGCGGGGGGAGATTTTTTCTCGCACTGATCGTGCGATGCGTCACGACGTGGTGGTTGATAAAATGCAGTGTGCGAAAAAAAAAAAAAACGCGCGCACAGCCGCACATATTTCACGCCCAAACGGTCTTGATGAAAAAGGCAAGCGTTGGAGGAGGAGAGACGCGCGAGGGAAGAAGCCGAGAAACTGGAGAAGTACGAGCGATTCATGGCGCAAATGATGGTTGAGCTGTGCGAGGAGACGGCGCTTGTGCTTTATCCTTGGGTCTTCAAGGACGAGCACGGCAAGCCACGGGACAAACTGCAGTGCCCGCCGTACACGGAGCTCGTGCATGATCTTTTCAGACAGTGCTTCGACGTGCAGGAGGAGGCGCGAATTCAGCTCGACGAGGACACGATCGAGAAGATGTTTCTCGAGAGCTACGTCGTCATCACGGACGAATTGATAAAAGGTGCATCGCGCGAAAAATGTAAAATCTAGGATTAAAATTAAAATAATGAAAAAAAAAACAAAAATAATCAAAAAACAATTTTGCTTGCGATATCTAAGAAAAGGAAACAAATAAAACAGAAAAATTAATAGAAAAAAAATATACCGCGAACGGTCCTCTCAGGATTAACCGACGGGAGATGCATGGCGATGAGATTGAGAGGAAAGCCGCCGCATCCGAGCTGGCCGGTGGAGTATCCTTGCGAGCGACGTCTCCCGAACGACCCGATTCGCGCGATCAACGATATTGAGAACTATCTTTACAGCATCATCATGACGCAACCGCCCCCTCTTCTGCAAGCGGGAATCGAAGTGAGCAGACCGACTTACGACGACAAGTCTTATGTCAGCCGACACGTGTACGTGCACGAACCGGATCCGGAAGTTGAAGGCGACGTGCGCCGCGTGCATTCCGCGGCTTGGGCGCCTCCTCAGGTATAAATTTGAATGACAAAATCAGAGGAACGTTGGCGACTTAAGATCCTGTGGCATTGAATTAATTTTAATTAATTTTTTTCACTTATATATATGTTAATTAAGAAGAACGCGAGATTTATGTTGTAGAAAGAAAACATGTGGCATGTAGGTTATAAATATGATAATATCGAACTCGTCGTGTGCGCAGGCCAGAAGCAAAATTCACGTCTTTAAGACGCTATTCCCCACTTACATGGACAAGCATCATCCTTACGTGGAGCCGACGGCTCCTCCGCCGTTGTGCGCGTTCAAGTTCGAGGCTTCGAAATTCGGCGTTGTGCGAGACGCGTACGACCTGCATCGCGACGCTATCGAGCATTTCGGCGCGTTCGAATACGATCGGCCGCCGTACGCGAGACGTCTCGCGTCTTCGCCCGAAGATTTCGAAAACAAGGTTACACTTTTTTTTTCTCTGCACTAATTCACCAATACAATTCTCTAAACTCGACGCGTTCGTCGAAATCAAATAAATTAATTTTAAATTAATCGCGCAAAAGGTGAAGTACAAAACCGGTCTCGAGATATTTGTGGTGATACTTCGAAGAATCAGCGATGAAGCCTTTCTGGCTTTCGCCGGCATCGAACCGTTTTTCGCGACAGAAAACGAGAAGGAAGCCGAAGGAATGATAACGGAATATTTCCCCGAAGGAGCCGAGGACGTGATACCATTAACGCCAGATGAGCAAAAAGCACTTTACGAAGACGAAGAAGAGGAAGAGGAAGAAGAAGAATATGAAGAAGAAAAAGAAGAGGAATCCGTTCTGTTGGCCTAACGCAATGGCAACGTGTCAAAGTGTAGAAAATTCAAAAACTCCAGAGAGAAAGAGAGAGAGAGAGAGAGAGAGAGAGAGAGAGAGAGCCATATGGTTGCAGAAAATTATGAAAATTTTCGCCATATGGTACGACTTGCGATTCACAACATTTACATTCTCTGCGTGTTTTGGCAACGAATATTGATACTCGACCACTCGTTGCGCTTGGCACAGTGTGTTTGCGTAAGTTTGGCGAAATACCAAGCCAGCTCTCGAGGAAGTTATAAACGCAGACCGCTCTCTCTGTTTTGCTTCCAAATTTCGATTCCGATTAATTCGCGCCAAATTACTCGCGAAAAAAAAATCCCCCAAAGACGCGACGCGCCGCCGAGACTTTCGGTTTTTTTTTTAATCTTTGCGTTTAAATAAAAACCTAAAATTTAAATTTACTTTATTACAAAGCAAATTTTTTAACGGAGCGAGAGCTATTTAATTTTCACAATTTTAATTTAATTTTCAACTTACTTAATTTTCAAGTTTACACAACGTGTATATTAGCGCAAAAGGATTATTACACAGATTTTTAGAATATCTTGCGCGCGCATTAGTCCTCTCGTTCACAATTACACTACAAAAAAACACTTTCTTAACGTAAATTGTAACACACACATTATTCCGGATCTTGTTTGAAAGAAAACATTCTCGTAATATCGTCATTAATTACGATCAAATAATCGTAAATGTCGAGCTTTGCGCAACGCTTTGCGCATAATCTTGCGAATTCGATTGCGCCAGTAGGGGTCAGTGAGATAATTCTCTCGACAGTTATAACATTTTTCTGGAACAACAAAAATGGTTTTATGTCGATCTCAATTTTCGATAAATCAACTGATTGACAAACACCCCGTAACGGAATTTATTCTTTTTCCACGATAATATTTGCTGAGTCGTTTGTGCAGTGCTTTGCAATACAATAATCTTTATATTAATAATAACAATAATCTTTCCTGGAACGATAAACTTTCAACCAGGATTTCATTTTGTTTGCAGTAAAATAGCTATTGCATCTATAGAATTTTTGCGCGTTTGCGATTGATTCGTCTCGCATTTTATTATCGCGAGAATTTACTGTTCCTCGTCTCGACACATTTGTATTCTCTTATACTTCATAATTTATTGTTGTTTTTCTATTATAACACATATAGTCTATTATTCGATTCTATCGTCGTTGTTTCACGATACTTTTTGTCTAGCGCGATAAGTTCATTATGTAATTAACCTTTCGAACATTCTGAGAGCAAGCGGTGGATTTCGTTTCAAAACACATCTTATAATGGAAGCGCATTAACGAATTCACTTCTACATCGAATTTTTTAATTGATTTCATTAGCACGAGATTTTATGTGTTTGTCGTCGAATTAACGCGATTCTCCACCGCGACAACGCGTCGAACTCGTCGACGAGGAGGGCGGAACTGAATCCTTCTTTTTTTTTTCTTTCAATTCGCGCGCGGGCGGTCAATCGGTTGATTATTGCACAAGCATTATGTAAGTAAATAGACACGAACAGGTGAGAGAAAGAGAAGAGCGGAAGGGAAGAACCAAAGAACACGGTAAATAAGAGGCGCAAATTATCTCAGCCACCAGAAGCAATTCTCGCGTTCCATCACGCGTTACGTGCGATTAACAGTCGTCTTCCTCCTTCTCTCATCTCGCTCTTCGAGAGTCAGTTTTGCTCCTCGACTACCATCTCGAGAATTATTAACGCTCGAGATTTAGTTCCTTTTAAGAGAAATCGCGAACGGGTAACACATTCGAGTGAAAAAAGACAAAATACTTTCAACGCAATTGTAATCGCGGATACAAAAGATATCGAAAGTCCGAGCAGCATCCGAGTTGGGAAGGGCAAGAGAGGAATGATCGTTCAAAAAGTACGACCTTGGCCTACTTGAGGCCTGAATGCTCTCTTCTCTCGGGTAGAGAAGGATCTCTTCTCTCTCATAACGAAATTATTCGTCGTAATTGTTCGCCCGTCACTGAGTAAATAATTCATGCTGGAATATTCCGATTGATTTTCAACCGCGCGCGCCGGAGCTCGGAAATTCGAACAATAAAGTCGACGGTTAGGTGAAAGTACGCGCGCGAGCAAATGACGGGGCGAATTCCTCGACACATCCCGTGACAAACAGATGTCATCGTTCTGCGTACGGTCGATGAAAATGTAAATTGTTATAACGACCGATTTTGACATTCCGGATCTACGTCTGTTGTGTGGCCACTACAGAGTCGAGATCGCGCGTTTTCAAGCACTTGGGTGCGTTGCGCAAAAAATGGTAATTAGTAGAAAAGTGGAGTCTTTTGAAACGCACGCTAAGATCACATCTCAAACTTTTGCACGAGAAAATTTACATTGTTTTTTTTTTTTTTTACATCGCTCTTATTATTCGCACAGAAATCTCGTGAGTGATCACGGGACACCCTGTACATGTTCGACGAGCACGCACGAGCGAAAATAAATGTAGGCAGACCGTGTCGCGGTGCTTCCTTTTCGCTTCCCGTTTCTCGCTGCCTATCGTTTTCTTTCTGCCGCGTTCGTTGCAAATAGAAAACGCCGTGCGTCGTTCGACGAAATTAATGGCGCCGAGACGCCCGAACCTGATTCATCGACGCCTACCAGCCATTCAACGCCGTCGATCTTCGACGACAGGATTCCGTGTACAACTTTTTTATCTTATCCTTCTCTCAAGCAGGTCTGCATGTGAGATGATGCAAAACTTCCGTTTTTTTTTGTTTCACGTGAAAAATCTTTCTCACTCGAAAAATAGCGTTTTTCTATCCTCAATCAACAGTGAATTAATTAGCAAAACGTTGAAAAGCACGCGTATCCTTACGCGCGACGTAAAGAGATTTCTTTATTTTAATAATTAGTAAAATAAACTCAACGCACACATGTGAGATAAAGTGAGTTGTTCTGTATGTATTCGTTACAAATCGTTTCCCCGAATTTCGCCATCGATCACATCGTGCAAACGCTGACCACCGCGAAATCCGATTCCGCTCCAATTTCGCGACGCTCTGCCGGAATTCTGTCTTCTGGCGGGAAAAAAACAAAAAAAAAAAAATACTTTTACCGGTACGCTACTTCTCGCGCGTATGTTCCTTGACCTCCTTACTCGGATCCTCGGATCCGCGATTTCTCGAAGAGACGACCGTCATCGACTTCCTTTGGAAATTTATACGGAAATCTTTTTCTCACGATGTCCGCTATTCGGGGAAAAGCGGTGAAAAATCGATGACGTTTGTCTCTTTTTTTGTCAGGCGTCGCAAAAAGTTTATGTATATATACACACACACACACACACACACACACACATACGTAAAACATATTCAACATGTGTACGGCTCGAGACACGTGTTCGAAAGCTTTCGTTTCAAGATAAAATATGCGTCATTCCGAAAAACAGGAAGTTAGGCAAGTCGAATTTTATAACAGATTGTAAATTTAACGCGCGCAAATCACAATTAAACAGGTCTGATTTTATTATGTTTTGTAAAATGTGATTTGTCAAGTTTTTTTTGTTTTTAATCGTTTCTTTATCTGATTTAGATGACCGATGCATAATTCGGCAATTCTTCTCCATATCATTACGTATAACCGCTAATTTGCAAAATTGAAAACACTCCAATTAATCACGTGCTCCCGTAATGACCACATTACGATTTCTGTAGCTCATTTATTTTCGTGTTAAAGATCCTTGCTTCTGATAACAAGTGAAGAGATAAAAAAACGCTGCCTACTTTCACTTCCAGTACCATATGATTAGACACTTGTCCCATAAATCAGTTTTGCTGCGAGCGCGAGATGAATTTTTTGACATTTAGAATTTTAGACTTTCAATTCTCCGATTATCGTAAATGATTGTGTCTATACGGCACGAATTAATTAATTACCGTGTTGCGCGTGTCCGACGATTATTATATGTCGCACGTGTTCGCGGAGACGCAAATATTCGCTACACGCAACAATCTCTCTCTCTCTCTCTCTCTTTCTACTTTTGATACCATCAGTTGACATTGGTCATTCCCGCACTGTGTCGAATCGACATATCGCGCGAGAACGGCGGATCGATCCTCGTTCACGTTTGTGTTTCGCGGCCGGCCTCTGATCGCCCTACCACCTACGTTCGACCTGTCCGGTCTCCAATGACCAACACTCTATCCCTTCTCGAGATGTTTCTCGACACATCCCTCCAAGGTTCGAAGGTCACGGTAACACTGCAGCCACCGTTCCCGCCGCGTAACCACCCGGAGACTCCGTTGAAGCAAGAGGTAGGGGAGGCTATATATAGCACCGTCGCCGTCGACGCGGTCTTCAGTATTCTCGCGCGCTTCCAACACGAAAGTGGTGGGACGAACATCTACTCGGCACATCTTTCACACGAAGACAAAATACGAAACCCGAAGAGATAGATAAGCTTCGACAAAACTCTCGGCAAGGTTCTCGGTACCTTACGACAAACCCTTCTGGTGCGCTTGATTCAGATACGAAAATCGAGTTAAATTAAACCGATGTGTGTGAAACACGAGTACATTAATTTGGTGAACTTTATTCGACGCTCGTGAGTACACACTGGTCCAATTTTCGATTAGCGACGTCGCTCGGTTCGATGCGAGCTGAACTTGGAGATAAATTTAATCTCCAAACTTAGCGCGCGTGCGACCTACTTTCGCACACGCGAATTCTTCGGACGATTCATTCGTACGTGCTCCAAAACCGGATATCTGGATCAGATATCAGGTCAAGAATCCCCCTCGCGTCGAGATCATTTTTGCGCAGTGAAAAATCACTGTGAAAAGGTTTTTGCAACGCGAGGTACGCGAGAGAAAATTTTTGCGCCATCACGGATTCCGATAACGGGAACTTGTTGTTTATTGCCTCCGTACGACGTGGTTTTATGTTCGCGCGCGACCGGAGTAACCAGCTATAGCTTCAGCTTTCCAAGTGCGCGATTTGGCGCTGATGATTTTCTCGACCCGGCGCGATTCGGAAAGACCGGGATTGATTATGGTCGCAGGGTTCCGTTGCGAGTCGTGCGGATA